ATAAAAAAGATTCGATTTATTATCAATAAAAATCAAGTTGTTATAGAATTGAAAGAATAAAATAAATACAATCTTGAGTTTACCTATAACTTATCAATTAATTAAAATAAATTTAATCTTGTTTAGACTCATCTCTCAAGACGATTCAACTAACAAATTCTGAATAGAATTCTATAAGTAATATCAGTTCAAATAATCAATCTAATAAAATTAAAATTCATATTAAGACAAAGAATAAAAAGTAAGACATGAATAATTAATGTAAGAATAATTGAAAGTATTTTATTTTAAGAGATATCAAAGTGATAAAAAAAGAAGGTTATTGTTATTTATTTTGAACAAAAGATAAGACCAATTTAAAATATGAAATTAGATAAATAAGGATGAAAACACTCCATATGATCGAGGCTTAGGTATTGCTGGTGGAAGGAAGTATTCAATAAAAGAAAATATACTACAAAAATCCATTATTTTTGGTAAGAAAGAGACAAATGCTCGAGTAATAGGTGGTTTAAATGTCCAATTTAAAAGAACACATATTGTTAATAAAGTAGTCATAGAACTATTCAATCTTCCAAAGTAAGTTGGAGTAATTGTGAATGAAGTGTATTGAGATGTATCAAAGAATTTATCCCATTCAATCTTTATAGTTAGTTGTTATCAGAAAATAATTAAATTAAACAAACTGGATGAGGAAATGCTAAATATCGATGAAGTAATGAACCAACAGATAACAATACATCTCTTGCAAATACATTTGATGCGACTTGTGGTGGTACTCTATTTACACATGACAATGACACAACTGTTGTTCCTAATAATAATTTATCAAGAAGACTTGAAAGTAATGGTGCCATTGATGGTTCATTATATAAAGTGTTCATTGAATGATCAATAAAAGCAGAAAGAGCCAATGAACAAGTTGCAATACCAGAATTACCAATTATAATATTATAAGAGGTAGTTGGAATAAGAAGGGATTTTAAAAGAACAACGAGATTTCCTTTATTGGCTCTTAAAGCAAAGTTCAATAAATTGACTCTTTTAGGAATCAATGAAGAATTCATTATTCTATGAACTTTTTAGTTTTAATTTTTTTAATAAAAAAAAAAGTATGAAATTATAAAAGGAAAAGTGAAGATCAAATTAATTTATTCAACCCAATAATCAAAATCTTGTAACGCAGTAATAATATCTTCAGATTTCTTTTTAAGATCTTTTGAAAATATTAATTCTTTAACTTCACAAATACTATCATTTTCAATAGACAATACTCTAACAATTTTCTTTGCAGTTTGAAAATCATATTTAAATTTCATAATTTTTTCAATTAAATCAGTATATATTTGATTATCAGATTCTTTTGAGTGACGTTCATCATTAGGGTTATTATAGAAACAAACATCAGTTCCATAAGTATGTTCCATTATTTTTGAATCATACCATTCTTGATAATTATTTTCTTTTTGAATATTCCAACACATATCATTTACAAATGAATGTAATTTTTTAATTGTAGAATCATTTTTACAAATAATATAAATCATTGTTGTTCTATGAATATTGTCTTCATTTTCTTTTATATTCATATCAAATGAATAAATATTTTCTGAACCAAGTTTCTCATTAAATACTTCTTTACTTACTAATTCATCTTCAATTATAATTGAATAAAAATATGAATAATAACAATATCGTTGTGCTAAAATTTTATTTTCTCCTACTATTTTTTCTATTAATTCATAACAATTATCAATCTTTTCTTGAACTATTTCCATCTTCTCTTTCGCTTCTTTTACATTTTCTTCATCTACACTTGAATTTGCTTTTGACTCTATTACTTTCATTACAAATTTTAAATTATAAATATGTTCTAATACCGTATTAATTTTATCTTCACATGCTTTGTATTCAGTATCCTTTTCAATAAAATTTGGAATATACTTCATTTATTTAATTATTTGTTAGTTATTTTTTAGTTGTAATTAATTAGTTCTTTTCAATAACATTTTTTATTCAAATTTATAAATTTTTTTTTCTTTATATTTTTAGATTTTGTATTTGATATATCTGAATTTAGAAATTCAATAATTTAATTGAATATCTATTGAATAAAAGACTTTTAAATCATATAACTAAATTATGAATAAATCAAATTGTATATAGTCAATTCGTTGTTTTATTTTTTTTTATTGTTACTCTCACCATTTTTAGTTATTATTGTTCTTATTTGTTTATAGAAACGTAGCATAAACTTTTTCATTGTAAAGAAATAAAAATAATCTAATTAATGTCATTTACTTCACTATTCAAATTTTCATTGTTTTGAGAAATTGTTTCATTATAATTATTTTTAGCTTCACTATCACTCTATGTGACGTTAAAGTCTTTTGTTGAGGTGCTTAGTTGTGAGTTTGTATCAGCAAAATTATTATAAGTAATACATATTATCTCTCATTTGCTTTGTTCTTATTACTGCTATTATGTTTATTTTCATTTAGACTAGAATATAACTTGTCAGAACACTACACAAACATTAAAATAAAACAAACAATAACTAATAATCAAATATTAACTGATTATGATATTTTAATTTAATAAGAAAATAAATAGTTAATGAAGAGAAGAATGCAATTAAATGAAAGAATAATACATGAATTTATGAAAGAAAAATTAAATAATATGAAACAAATAAGAATAATAAGGAAATAAAATGACATAAAAGATGGTGTTAACAATAAATGAAAATTACATAATATTATAATGATAATGAAATAATTCATTCAACATAAAACCAGAAATAAAGAAATGATATAAACAGAAAAAGAAAATAGAATAAAAGAAATAACAGAAAATGAAATTAACATAAAAGAAGAAAATCTAAAAAATAAAAGAAACAAATAAACAAAATGATTTGTGAAATGAATAATACACAATAAAAATGAATGAGAAACCATCAACATTTAATTAATTACTTTTTATGAATATTTCATTTCTTCTTTTCAATATGTTATTTAACAATTTATTTACTTTTCAATATAAGACCCCATTTATTATTCAATTTCTTTGTTATATTTTTTGAAATACTTAGTATTGAATGTATAATAATTCATGTCTTTATAATCAATGTTTCATGTATCATTTCTACTTCAATCTTTTTCAAAGAACTAGTTTCGTTCATTTTGATCGTCCATGGTAGTGGTGAAAATAAAAATGATAAAAAAATGATAAATAAGAGAACAAAAATTATAAGTAATCTTGTTTCACATTATTGGGAGATTGGGCAAGTGACTGAATGATTAGTGGGTGTTTCTTTTTTAATTGTTCTAATATTGCTCTAACTTCACCTCTCATACTATCTTTTTCATATTTACAACGTATTAAACGTGGTAATTCAATATATTTTGTCCATTCTTGAATTAAAACAACTGGAACTTCAATCAATGGTCGAATAAATTTTATTCCATATTTTTCTGTTGTAAATTGAGCAGGAATAGTAGCAATACAACCACAAAATAGTTGGTTCATTAATAACGTTTCAGCAACATCATCCATATGATGTCCTAATGCAATAGAAGTAAATCCATGTTCTTTTGCAAATTTTAATAAAGCCCTTCTTCTATTCTTTCCACAATTTAAACAAAAAGTAGTATTTTTATCTGCGTCTTCAATATCTGACTCGGACATTTTTTCTGATTGGAGTGAAATAAAAGGAACCCCAAATGACTCACAGATTGATTTAGATTGTTCAAGATCTAATTGATAACCAACTTGTGGATTTGTAACATGAACGGCAACTATATCAATTGGGAAATTAACATTTTTTGAGAGAGTAGAAATGACATGAACTAACAAGAATGAGTCTTTTCCACCAGAAAATCCAATGATAATTCGATCATGAGGTGATATAATTTTTTCTCTTCCGTTCATTTTCCAGAATTTTGAATAGATTTTATTAAACAATCTCTTCTCTTCTTTCTTTGGTGTTTGTTTAGTTTTATCCATTAAAACCTCTGGAAATACTTTTTAAATTTTAATGATAAAAAAAAGTTAAAACCTAAAACATTCTGTTGAAAAACGAAATAAACCTTTATTTCAAGAGTTTTTCACATTGAGCAAGTACTTTTTGTGCATTTGGGTCATTTGAACTAGCAAGCATATCTCTTAAAGCACGGACATTGGTTGGAGAATTCTTTTTAGCAACTTTCAAAGCGTCTTGATATTTTTCTAATTCTACATTAATTTGAATTTGTTTTAAATCAGATGGAATTGCAGCAATGAGTTTTTCTGGTTTACCTTTGAATTTAGTTCTAACAGCTTTAAAGATTAAGTCTGCTTTTTGTTCATCAGTAAGAGATGTATTTTGTTTTAAGAAATCAAGTAATTCAGGTTCTTTAGCAACTTCTATTAATTCTAAATAATATTCAAATGCAGTTTTAGGTGCAGTTTCATCATCATTTGGTGATGATAAAACTGCATTAATAATTTCATGTAATAATTGGAATCTTCTTTTCTCAAAGAAATATTCTGCAATTGTTGCAACATCAGTTGTAGATTTTAAATCAAAAACATTAACACGAGCAAGACCTTCATCAACCTTTTTCATTGAACTTAATAATTCCATTACACGTTCTTGTGCACCATATTTTTTAACCATCATTGTATGTTTAGCACGATCAATAACATTTCCACATCTTTCAATGATTTTATCAATTAATCCTAATACTTCTTTTCTTTTACCAGTATCAGTGAAAGGAATAGTATTGAAATATTTAGATGATCCCATGTATGCCTTTTCATATAATTCAAGATGAAGTGTAATATCAAGATAAATATCCCATAATTCATTCTTTTCTAAGAAATCAAGTAAGTGAGTAATATCTTCTTGATGTGTATCTTTTAATTTCTTTAATGTTGATTTCATAATTTGATATTGTTTATTATCTAATAACGCTGGTAAATAAACAGTTTGGAAGAATGCATTTTCTGATAATTTAACTGGTTCTTCAAGTGCATAAACAAATGCTTTTTCAAATTCACCTTCAACAATATATTTATTAACAATCCATTGTTTATGTTTTTCACATGGACAAAATTGGAAATAATACTTTGCTTCTGAATCCCAAGTAAAATGTTGTCCTCTTGTTTTTGAACGATTTTTATTATCAATAATTTGTTGTTTAATTTGAAGCCATTGTTCATCTGGTTGTTTAATATTTTCAGGTGCAGCTAATCCTTGTGATTTACCATTTAATTTATTTGGAACTGATTTAGGATTACTAATAAAATTAACTAACATTTGACAAGATGCATTATCTCCAAACTTAGTATTTTTACCAATTTCCATATAAATATTTTCTACAATTTCCATTAATAATGGCTTATCTACTTTTTCTTTTAACTGATCAAATACATCTCTTGCTTGTTGGTATTGTTTTTGTTGTAATGTTTCATAAAATGATGTCATTAATACAGGAACATTATCTAATCCAAGACACTCTCCAATTGCCAATGCATCATTCTTTCTAAAAACACTTTTATCATGTAATTCTGAATGTAAAGATTTTGCAATTTCAGTATTAGTAAATAATGTATGGAATGGAATTCCTGAAGTAAAATGTGTTGTAGTCATTAAAGTGAAATAAACTCTTACCAATTGTTTTAAATGATCCATTTTTGTTTTCATATTTTTTAATGTTTCATTTTTACATTCTTCTTCAGTTAAAAGTTCTTCAAAATATTGTAATAATTGATAAACAAGACATACCATATTTCTACTTTTTTCTCTTGATAAAACTTCACTTTGTAATTGGTTAGCAACATTAAGACAATTTTCATAACAAATTCTTGACCCCATTTCAAGTGTAGGTGCTTGAGCATAAATTTCTTTTAAATTATTAAATAATTGACTATATCCTCCTACAAGATTATTTTCAAAATTATCGTAATATTGTTGTGTAGTTTCTTTGGCAAATGCTAATAAAAATTCTTCATCTCTTAGTCCAGAGAATTTGCTTAATATATCATTTATTGACAATTTACTTTGACCTCTATTCTTTTGAACACATTCTTCTATAATCTTTAAAATATCTGTTCTTTTAGATGACATATACGAAACAAATTCACTTGCTTCTTCTTGTGAATCTCCATCTAAAATTACATAAATTGCTGTAACTATAATTTGTTTTTCTTTATCTTTTGGGGCTGGTTGAATAAAACTAAGACAATCATAGGCTAATCGATATTTTTTCTTTTGTAAAAGTAAATCAACTGTATTAACATTAATATCAATTTCTTTTACTTCTAAAACCATTTCTATTTGATGTATTAAATTAGTTTTGTCATACATTTGTTTTAAATTAGCAGGGAAATTATCTAATGAAATTTCACTAACACATTCATTAAATAATTTCCAACATTGATTTTGGGAATATACACCCTGTTCTAATACTTTGACTGTTTGAATTAATCTTTTTTGTGGATTAGAAATTCTTATTAACACTGCAAATATTTCATCAAATAAATTATTTGTTGCTGTTCTTTTATTTAATAATTCTGTTAATTGTAATGTAACTATTTTTTCTACTAAATCTTTGGATTTAGTTTGAACTGCATGAGAATAAGCGTTAGTATAATCTGCTTTACTAAGATAATAATTTGCCATTGTATCATGGAATTTTTCATTTCCTCCTACGCTTGGATCTAATAATACTTTAAATGCTTCCATTGAATATAAATTAAAATTAACATTAAATTCTCCATTTCCTGGATTGAATGCACTTTCAAGTTCTCTGTATTGAGTTAATTTCATTTCAACAAATTGTCTTAATGTCTCTGGTAATGAATTAATAATTTCAATATCAAAAACTGGTATTTTAAAATTGGTTGGATCAACAGAGAATAGTGCAAATACAATAGCAAGATCATCTCTTCCCATATCATGTAATAA